TCGGTCGCGGAGGGTTGATGGTGGTATATTATAAAGCATAGCTGCGGCTCTGAGGCTTAATTTTTCGTCCTTTTGGAGAGCTTCGAGGGCTAAGATTACCCTCGCTTCCTTTAAAATAGAAGGCATATTGGATTGTAGAAAAATTCGATGCAAAGTGCAATGAGGACGCGTCGCGCTAGGGAGTGCGCGACCCACTGATATGCACGACTCACTGATAATGTACGTTATATGTGATTGTGTAGCAAGTAATAAGTGCATGCCCTCGAGAAGGGGGTCTCAGCGCGCCCGTGCTAAGCTCCTTCAAAAGCCCGCAGGTTGGTGGCTCTCCATTGTCAAAGGGACCAGAGGGGGTGATGGGTGGGATCTGTATATTTCACATCATCAAGAATATCTTCTTCAATGCCAAGCCCAGAAGAAACACCAACACCGTTGAGGCTGATGAAGAGCAACATGTTGATGCAGATTAGGAATCTGCTGCCAATCTTACTGCCCGGGAAAAGTTATTCCTCGATAACCTTCGCCGTGGCGAAGATGTTGATATAGATGCTCACTCGGTCACTATCGAGAAGGATCCCCATAGCTTTATAGTCTTCTTCAAGTCGGTCCTCTACTCCCAGACTCAGAGCGCGTTTTGGAAGGCCTGGATACAGCTGTCTCAATATTTCCATGACCAGCAGAGGACCCTTCCCTAAATACAGGACCAGCGGATTCCCCTCCGCGAGCAGTGGGCTCATTGTTACACCAAGCGATATCGAAACTTCGGTGGAAGAGTCACTTCAACAACAGAATCAACCAATCACGCGATCAAAAGCCACCTCATTAACGGTCGAGGCGACCTCGCTAGCTTCATTCGCGCCATCAAAGAATGGTGAAGGAGCAGTTCAGCATCTTCACCAGCAAGTTAACTAACAATGAGACTCGCGTTCGCCACGAATTTCTTGAAAAAGAGTATCTTGGTGAACTGCCGAGGAATATATTGCTTAAGGGACGTCTCCTCATCCAGGATGAGTATCGCCACTACCAGGGTAATATCCCCAGAGACAACTGACCTGCAAAGAGACCACTTGGGGATTGCAATGCAGACTGTACGGTATCCTTGCAGCTGGGCGTTCCTTGTCGTCATGTCATCGCCGATCGAATTTCGAAGGAGACTCTCAGTCTCAGTGATATACATCATCACTGGGATCTTCAACAGCCTTTGGTAAGTCTTTTGATGATAGTTGCTTCAATGAGAATCTTTCTGATACTGTTTTTATAGGGAGAGGATGATCCTTACCTGCGCATCAAGAATCCCAAGATGACTACCAAGCTGAAGGGGCGGCCGAGTAACAAGAAGCTCGGACTTCCCACGGGAGTAGTTGTCATCCCCACGGTATCTCGACACTACTAAGAAAAAGAAGAAAAATATTGCCAGGACCTCCAAGATCACAAAACAAAATGATCACCGAAGCCGTCAACCGCAAGAAGGTGACTGGGAAGATCACCAAGAAGAAGAAGCCAGGTCCAGTTAAAGGGAGTAATCCCCGTCTCCCTCCCTCGGTCAGGCGCCGCCTCTCGCAGTGGGAGATGGAACCAGAATCTGAAGACGATGGCGATCTTTAGGATGGCTTCTACTTCCTTGACACTGGCTTTCTGCCTCCGGTCTAGACCGGTCGTGATAATGAGACCGTTGGGAATAGTGGCAAGGAAGATGGAAATGGTCTTGAGGAGCCTGAGACTGAAGAGCCCAGAGTCACTCTGAGGGTCCCTCCAAGAAAGAGGGCCGGTCTCATGATCGCCTCAGAGTCAACACCCAAGCGTACCAAGAAGGCTGCGCCCACCGTCAACACCACAACTGAAAGGCAGGAGCCTAATACCGTCTTGGCGATGGCTTCAACGATGTCATCAGAGACTAGCTCCCAGAGGGTCACTCGCCGTGGGCGTGTGGTTAGACCTTCCAAGAAGGTAACTGAGGCAGTCAACTAACCCACTTGACTTGCGCGCAAATATCTAAAGATTCCGGAAACGGCGTTTCCCACAATTGTTGTACGAGTGAGAGCGTTGTTGTTGACACATACTAAAAAAGGCGTAGGAATTTGAGGGCACTGCAAAGAAAGGTTATACATGATACAAGGGTCAGAATAAACACTTGACTTACGTAGACTTAATAGTGTATTTATTTGGCTGTAAAAATTGGTCTTTCTTATGCAGTGGTGGAAAAGATGTATTGAAGATTGCGCGTTTTGTGGTGGTGACCCAGGGTTCTATGAAGGGGGTGCAGGAATATGGAAAAGAGGGTTCAAGTCTAAGAGGGTCGGGGGGTGGCAGGTGTAAAGAAAAAGGGGTGCAAAAATAAAGTAGGTCATTATAAGTCAACACATGTCTACAATGTGGATCGATACTGAAAACCATTCCGTGCTTTATTCCGGAGTCGAATTATTCAAAAGTAAGGAGAATGTTATACGCCGAAGCAAAAACATAACATAACTCGTACGTGACAGACGTCCTCTTGATATCTTTGCTTGAGCCCATACATCCCTAGATCAACCGGAATAACAGAAACTTGTCATCAGGGTCAAGGAAAGTGATATCGATATATTAATACATACTATCTGACATCAACCAAAACAACGGTGGGTTGGTGACATTCTGGTTAGGTCCTTCCAAGGCGGCTGAGCCCGCATTCGCCACTTCTTCAAAGTTCACTTCATTTTACCAGTCCGCTTCATGCTGATCGGTGGTTTTGAGATTGGCAGGCGGTTGACAGCCCGGCGCATGGTTGGGAGCCGGTGAAGACGGCTGCGGCAATCGCCTGTCCAGCCATAGCTTATTGTCTACATGCATATAGCGGTTCACCATTCCCAGGACTGTTGGATCGGCTGCTCCGCACGTTTTCTTGCCCTCGACACCGTCTAGTCCCGAGAATACGGAGTTTAGCGGAGTTTGGAGCACTTCGTAGCTCTTGCCTCCTCCTTACTCCTCTCCGTCATGCATCTACTAAAGCTATGGCATAAAATCTGCCTTGTGATCCCTCGAGGTTGCTCTTTCCTTGTGGCCTCGCCCACCTGACGGGGCCATGCTGCCTAACAGGATCGAAGTCATACGATCTAATCCCATCTCTGTCGCAGTACTGCTAGGATACTGCCTGTACGAAGTATAGCGCTGCGTTCCTTGACGAGGTTTGGCTTGCGCTATTATCTTATCTCGTCACCCGGTTCACTCTTCAACTTACTCCTAATGTCTGCGGGCGGACTGCTAAAGCGCGAGGCCTCTCTCTCGTATTTGGACGGCTATTGCCCTCTCCTTTGCCTCTTTTCCCGCCGCCGTCACACTAACTCGGACGTCTCCGGTCCCAGGTCAATACTCCTGAATCTATCCCTGGAGGTAGCGTGTAAGCTCGCGCTGCAACACCCATCGTATTCCCTATCTATCTGTGAGACGACATTGGTTGGATTCTTTACGAGATCCTGCGGCTTCCAAGAAGTGGTCAGCACGGCAACCTCGTCACCTCCATGCCAATTGTAACGCCCCCATGAAAGGGCGGAGTCTCCTGGTAGGCAGGTCATCCTAACAAAGCCAAGGGAAAATTCTTCCCAGGCAGGTAGAGCGACCCTGGATCGAATGTGTGTTTAAGTTCATGCTCTTAGCTCTGGCATCAGGGCTCGGAAGTCTGGCAACCACAGTCGCTCGGCATTCTCTTTCTTTAGGTCACCCCTTTCTCAACTAGACGGTTTATTAACTTGGCTACTTGAGGCCTAATTTACCGCCGCCGTACCAGTCCTTGTCCCTTCGGCATTAAGGCAAGACTCTCCTGATGCTGGGTTAGGCGCGCCAATCCACCTTACTGCCGTAGTAAACAAGGGAACCCCTTTTTTTCTACAGCATCTAGAGGGTTCTTAACGCTAAGAATATAATACAGGGAGTGTTTTCGCTATTCCAGCTTTCAAGAAATCAAGAAAATTGCATTAGGGATGCTAACATCAAACATGCAAAAACTTACGTCTTACTGTCACACGGCAAAAGCCAACCACCTGCAACCACAACCAACAACACCGTCGATACCACCGCAAGGAGGGGTAACTGCAAGTTGTGAGCCTCTCGTTCAAAGTGAGGCAGACAATCAGAGGCATGGCGGTTATCAAAGGAAGTTCAATGGCCCAGTAGGATATTGGAGGACTTGGCGGAGGCCTGAGGCCAACAAAGGCACGGGCCACGCGAGGGAGGATAAGATACGCGTTCAGGATCACCAAGACTGTATTTCTTCTTCTTTTCAGTATCACAGACTTCGAGGCCATTGAAGATTATTAGCCTGAATTGAACCATGAGTTCCAAGCCCTGATATTATAGCCCTTGTCACACTTACAACAGAAGTAAGACAACGGGAAAAATAACTCAGGCGTGATACTTATGGGCCACGAAATCATTCAACTAAGGAATTGTAATTCCAATTTTAACTTTAGGCAAGTCTAACCTGGGTGGCAGAATGGGGCCTAGCATCGCTACAATTAACACACCCCCAGCACAGGGTAGTACACCCCGTACATAGGCCAAACCCGGTGCGGCGCTAGTCCACTCACGAAGAAGGCAATTCTCAAAATCGACATTCGAAACAGGAACTTGACTGTTTCCAACCCGCGCGGTGTGGTATCAACGCCCCAAAAATGCCTGTACCGAAAAAGAAAAAATATCCCAAACCTTTCTACAAAGTAAAAAAGAAAAAAAAGAAAAGAAAAAACCAAACTTTGTCAAACGCCAGATGATCATGCCACATTAGTTTGAGACAAAAACAACAACAACCGCCGCCACCTCTTCTTCTCTTTCTCCCCGACACGCCAAATCCTCGAGCCCCAACCTCGGGCTCTGCCCACACCTTTCCGAACCCTCTTCACTCCCCCAACCCCCCCATCAA